GGGTTGTAGTCCAAAGTTGTGGGCCGACCCGTAACCAGCCCGGAACTCGCAGCGGGCGGGCTTTTTTTCACGCGGGCCGTTACCGGGCTCACATGTTGGCGGGCCGACCCGGCCCGGACCACCCGGATTGACACCTCTAATCACACAATCGAAAGTTCCCTGGATCATTGACTACAGTGCATCCGATCATATGACGGACTCCCACCATCTGTCTTCCACATATTCACCATGTACTCGCAACCTTAAAGTCAAAATTGTAGATAGCACACTCTCTCGAGTCACAAGAAAAGGGAGTATTCGTATCTCTCGTTCAAAAACACTCAAATTTGTTCCCCATGTCCCAAAACTGTCTTGCAATCTATTATCCATAGTCAATTGACAAAAAAATCCAATTGTTCTACTAATTTTTTCCATCTCACTGTGTCTTTCAGGACTATTATCGGAAAAGATGATTAACAGTGCTAAGGAGTATGAAAAACTCTATTACTTTGAAAAGGTTGATATAAGTAAACGTCAATTTGCTAATTGTGATTCTACATTTGTTTCTAAGAATAGTGAAATTTTGTTATGGCATTATAGAATGAATCTCACCACATTTTCAATATTTAAGACATGTATTTCCTTCCAATATTTTTGAATAAAATCCATGATGACCTTCATTGTAAAATTTGTGAACTTGCAAAGCATCAACACTTCTCATTCCCAATATCCACATATAAACCTTCTAAACCATTCACTATTATTCAGTGACTTATGCGGACCTTCACGAACCCCTAATCGTACCCATGCAAAATGGTTTCACTTTTATCGACAATCATACTCAAATTTGTTGGGTATATCTTCTAAAAAAAACTGATGTTCATTCAGTGTTTATCAATTTTCATTTAATGGTTCAAACCCAATTCCAAAAACGAATTCAAATTCTACGCACAGGTAAGGGCACAAAATATTTCAAGAATACTGTTGGATTTCAAGTACAAAATAATAAAGAAATCAACACAAGTATTTAACGTGATTCGGCGATATGCCAACATCCACAAGGAACAAAGCGAAGGTTTTTACTCAGTATAAACAATAGGGTTACATCATTAGTATTTATACTAACCCTAACCCAAGCTCATACAAGAAAATACACTCATACCGTACTGCAAGGCCAACTCCCCTAACCTATTCAGCGTCCTTGGCAAACAAACAGTGAATTAAACCCACAAGGCTGATGCTGACATTGGCCATTTGATCCAATAAACTTATCTTCAACTCTATATGAGCCACATATACAACAAATACTCTAAAAAACTATCTTCAAGAGAATAGGATAATTCACCAAAAGTTCATGTGTCAACACTCCCTAACAAAACGTGGTTGCCGAACAAAAAAATCTTCTTGAAGTTGCTCGTGCCCTAATGTTTACTAAAAATATACCCAAAACATTCTGGGGAGATTCCATTTTGACATCAACTTATCTCAAACGAAATGCCAAGTCGCATCCTCACATTCGAATCTCCTCTCCAAAAATTCTTCCCTAACTCTCGTCTTAACTAAATCTTACCGTTAAAAGTGTTTGGATGTACAACCTTTGCCCGTATACATTCTCACCATAGGAATAAGCCCATATTTGGCCCCCATTAAATTTTAATTCATTTTTCTCTCTCCTCTTATCAATCACACGTTCTTTCAATAAAATAATATTACACATAAACCTAAAATTCTCCTTACTTTCTAACAACATATTTTTAAAAAAAATATATTCCAAAACCAATTTTTTTTTCAAATAATGAGTTCAAACAAGGGCTAAATCAGATCCATGTGCACTTAAGTGTGTATTGATTGGATAATCACCTACACAAAAAGGTTATAAATGCTATGATCCCGTTACTAAAAGGGGTCACATTCTTTGACGTCACATTCCTTAAGAAAACTCCCTATTTTCAGAAAACCTATCTTCAAGGAAAGAATGTAAGTGAAGATCGGTTCTTGAAAATCGATTTTTCTCCTCCCTCTGAATCTATCCCAAAAACTGAACCTACAACACCATCTTGTTCTAACGTGCCATTTACAGAAGGCAACTCAAACTCAAGGGGAGATGAGAAAAAGCAACATGACAAAGAGATATTAGTTTACTCAAGAAAATCAAGATCAAGGTACAATGAAAAGCTCACCCCCAAAGCACCAAAAGTGTAGGAACCGATGATAGTTCCAAATTAGCATGAGGCCTCTTTCAAAACTTTTGACATGAATCTACCTATTGCTCTCGGAAAATAAACTCGATCATGTACACTTCACCCCATTTCAAAATTCATAGCTTATAATAAATACTCTATCTATAGGGTTTCGTGCTTCTGTCTCTAATCTTGATAGTATAAAAATTTCGAGAAATATCCAGGAAGCCTTAGAAACACTTAAATAAAGAGAAGCCGTAATAGAAGAAATGAAGACGTTAGAAAAAAAAAATGAATTTTGAAATGTGATGGAGCTACAGAAAGGAAAGAGACCCGTTGAATACAAATGGGTTTTAAATGTGAAGTATAAAACTAATAGGACAATAGAACAGTATAAATCCCGTCTTGTTGCAAAAGGATATACCCAAACATAAAAACATTCGCACACGTAGCAAAGTTGAACATAATTTGGGTCTTCTTATCTTTAGCAGCCAATCTGGATTGGTCTCTCCAACAACTTGATATTAAAAATGCATTTTTGAATATAGAAGAAGTTTTCTTGACCCTACCGCCAGATTTTAGTAAAAGAAATGAAAAAAATAAAGTATGTAAACTCAAAAAGTCCTTGTACGGCTTCAAACAGTCACCAAGAGCTTGGATCGATAGATTTGCAAAAGTATTGAAAAGTCACGGACTTCGATAATAGCAGTCAAATCACGCCATATTTTTCAAACTATTCAAAGATGGCATGAAGACAATACTAATTGTATATATCAATGACATAATCCAAACCAAAGATAATACAATCGAGATAGAAAGATTAAAGAAAAACCTAGCTGCAAAATTTGAAGTAAAAGATTTGGGAGAGATGAGGTATTTTCTAGGAATGGAAATTGGCAAATCAAGAAGGGGTATCAGTGTTTCATAAAGGAAGTATGTTCTGGGCCTCCTAATTGAAACAGGTATACTTGAATGTAAACTTAGTGATACTCCTATAGATGCAGGGAGAAAAAAGAAGACTTTGAAGAACCTATTGAGAAGGGCAGAGCAGCATCTAGTTGGGAAACTCATCTACCCATCACACACTAGGCCGAATATTGCATTCGCAGTTAGTGTGGTAAGCCAACATATGCATTCTCCAAAGAAAGTTCATCTAGAAACGGTATACAGAATTCTCAAATACCTAAAAAGCTCTCTTGGTAAAGGACTCCTCTTCAAAAAAATGAAAAGAAGGGCGTAGAAATATTCACTCATGCTGATTGGGCTGAATCAATAGAGGGCAGAAGATCAACTATTGGCCATTACACCTTTGTATAGAGAAACTTGGTAACCTGGAGAAGAAGCAGAATGTAGTAACCAGAAGCAATGCTAAAGCTGAATGTAGGACAGTTGCTCAAGGAATGTGCAAAGGACTATGGTTAAAGAAGCTCTTGGAAGAACTACAAGTTGCAGTGAAATTCTCAATCAAACTCTATTGCGATAATAAAGCAGCAATAAAAATCTCTCTCAATCCAATCCAGCATGATCGAACCAAGAATGTAGAAGTGGACATACATTTCTTCAAATCAAAAGGTGAAGACAAAACTATATGCATGACCTATGTCCCTACCAAAGAACAAATTGCGAATGTATTCACCAAAGTTCTACCTAGACAATATTTCGATGATTTCATTTGCAAGTTGAAAATGATCAATATCTACGATCCAACTTGAGAAGAAGTGAAGAAACCCCAAAATTATGGGATTCTATTAATTGTATAGTGTGATTGATTCTATACCTTGTTTAAGTAGTAATTATTAGATAAGTTTGTTTTCCCTTTATTAGGAGATTATCTTCCTTTTACGTCATCTTCATTGTAGTATAAATTAAGGTACATAGCATTGTATTGATCATCAAATAACATATACAGAATTATGCAGTCTTCATAAATCTGTCATTTCTATCTTTACATGGTGATCCACCAAAAGTCATGATTCCTCCTTAAGTTAGACATATGATAGCATATAGTGCATATTATTATGCACTTATACGTAGGATATTCAAATATGTATAAACACAGACAGAAAGAACCTAGCT